CAAAAAGAAAGTGAATGAAGTTTATCAGGAAGAAATCGATGAACTAAATAAAGAAATGGGCGGTCTCAAACAACAACAATTGGATAATTTAATTAAACTGATGAAAAGTGGTGCTGATTTGGACTTTGATTTTGAGAATGCAGATTGATTGAATGATAAGCAAAAAGAAATCTGCCGGAATTATCAACAAAATCGCGAGGAAGTTAAAAGATTGAAAAAACAGCAAAACCAATCTAATGATAAGGATTTATCCTCGGGAAACACTGATGATAGTCAATCCCAAGGCGAAAGCGAAAAAACCTGTGACAAATGCGGAAAAAAAGGAACTAAATATGGCATCCCAAGTAAAAACGATGGCAAGGAATTTTGTTCTAAAACTTGCGGTGCTGATTATTATCATCAACAAAAACAAGGTAATTCCTCCTCAGATGACAACCATGCCAAAACTTGTGACCAATGTAGTAAAGAAATTAGCGAAGGTGAAAAAACTTATTATGCTGATGCTGATAACAAAACTGGGACTTTGTGTTCAACTTGTTTAGACAAGGAATTAGATGAAGAAAAATCAGACACTAACTTATGTCCCTCTTGTAATGAAATTAGTAGCGAGAGCGAACTAGAAGAACATATTAACCAAAATCCTCAGTGTAAAGTTGCCGGAGAAGCTTATGAACAAGTGGAAAAAGGGATAAAAGTCGATGTGGATAAATTAAATTTGTCCAAACAAGGTAAAATCCTTATTCGAACTTTACAGAAAATCAAAATAAATAAAAAGTGAGTCAATGTAGATAAATTAGACTTACCAACTAAACATAAAAAAGAATTAAAAAAATTAATGAAAGAGTTAGGGATTAAAAATTATTCTCAAAAAGATAACACCGAAGACATTTTGGAACAAGATCAACCAAAAAAACCATTTTACCAACAACCTTGAGTAATTATTAGTGCTACTATCATCATCCTAGTTTCATTGATAATGATGATTAGGAGCGGTAGGGTAAAAAGAAAACAAAAATAACTAAATTATGAACGAACTTTCTATAAATGATAATGACAGTTTATGAGGCATTTTAGCTCTCATTGGTTTAGTCATTATAATCACTTGAATTTGACAATTAGTGCGTTTAGCAAAAAGAAAAAGTAAGGTTGCTTTTGCTTGCGTTCTAGTTTTTGGTTTAATACTCTTTCCTCTTTTGCCCATCACCACCTTTATTAGTCTTTTTCTAGGTCGTGGCGAGGAAAAAGAAGAAGAAAAGAAAGATAAAACTTTTTGGTGTGGGATTTGTCAAATTAAATGTAAAAATGAATTGTTTGGTGCGGAAACCCTTAAAGAAGGTGCCATTTGTCGCTTTTGTTTAATTGAAGAAAGGCAGTTAAAAAATTTTGGAGTGGTAATGTTCTCCGACATATCCTTTATTTTCTCAAAAACTTTTTAACAAACTTCTTTTCCTTCTACGTGTTTTAAAATTTATATTAGCATTATTAATTATTAATAAAACGTTGACTACTTCTTATGCCTGAATTATCTGTTTTATTTTAGAATTTTTACAGCAAATAGAAGTCTTTTCATCAACCTTAAAATTGTAAAAATTATACTATACTTACTTTTAATTGCCTTCCTCTAATGTCCCTTAAATTTTTTAAAGAACTTGAAATAGCAAAAGAAACTAATATTAATGAATTAAAGGAGTTGGAAGTTAATTTCTCGCCCCCCAACTGTTTAGAAATAAAGGTTTCTAATCTGCTAACAGTGGAAGCGATTGGTAAACTTTTATATTCAATTTACAATAAATTAAATTACCTATTCGATCACCTTGAATACCGGATAGTGGTTCGGGAGGGAGTTGCAACAATTGATAAAATAATTATTCAAGAATACCTTTCCTTCATTATTGAAACTCCTTTTCTGTGAAAGGATAAGAGGGATTTAATTTTTTTTTATGAACAAAAGGAATTATTAGAAAATTTTATTCTTCGCCGTAATGTTATCTATTTACGACTTCTGGAACAATCGGATCTTGACAATTGGAAAGCAAAATTTGCTGTCTTAAAAGAGATATTAGAAAAATTAGGTTTGACTGGTCTTCGATTCGGAAAAGAAAAAAGTGCTAATAATAACAATCCGCAAACTACTTTGGCTAAGAATAAAGATAGTGAAATAATAGAAGGAAGGAAAAAAAGTAACCTCGGTTCGTCAAATAACCAACCAATAAATGGCGGAAAGAGATTAAACAAATCTATTTTATTTCGTGAATGGAAAGGAAGAAAATTATTTGAATTAGGAGTTCACAGTAAATTTAGCACCTTGGATGGGATAAGTAGTCCAGTTGATTATGCCACGAGTGCTCGAAAGAAAAATTATGCTGCTTTGGCTATAACCGACCACTACAACGTTCAATCCTTTCCTGAATTTAGCAAACACCAGAGTAGTGATTTGAAAATTATTTATGGCTGTGAAATGGAAATGTTAGAGGATAAACTTCCTCCTTATCTTTTTAACTATTCTGAACAATTTTTAGAAAAAAAAATAAATGATTTAACTTATTGCGTCTTTGATTTAGAAACTACTGGATTTTTTTCTCAATATAATGAAATTATTGAAATAGGCTATGTGATTTATCACCAAGGAGAAATTATTCAGGAAAAAGAATACTTAATTTGTCCCGAAAAAGAAATTTCGGCTGAGGTTCTGACCAATTGATATACCAGTATTGACCCCCAAGAGTTAAAAAAAGCCCCTAAAATCAAAGAAATTTTGCCAACCCTACGGCAAGAGTGGGAAGGTTGTGTTTTAGTGGCTCATAATGCTGGTAAGTTCGATTATGGTTTTCTTAATAAGGTCTGGAAAGAAAATTTTGGTGAACAATTGCCCCATCCAGTTCTTGATACTCTGCCACTTTCCTGAATGCTGCTTCCGGAAAGAAAATCTTATAGTTTAGAAAAATTAAGCCATGTTCCCGGACGAGGAAAAATTGTTCAAACCCACCGGGCTCTGGATGACAGTAAATTGCTAGCCGAATTATTAGGAAAATTGTTGAAAACTCTAAAAGAAAATAAAATTAGCCAGTGAGGAGAAGTAAGGGGGTTAATTAAAGATGGTTTTTTTCCTAATCGGGGGCATAAAATAAAAGTTTTGGCTAGTAGTCAAGAAGGGTTATATAACCTTTATCGTCTTATAACGCTTTCCCATACCAAAAACTTGTTTAAGAAGCCTTCTGTTTTCTGTTCAGATTTAGCAAAATATCGATCAGGTCTTTTGATTGGAGCAGCCGGTGGAAGGGAAGGAGAAACCTTCTCACTTTTTAGTTCTTTTAACTTTGAAGAAAAGAAACAAGCAAAACTTCGCTTTTATGATTATTTGGAAGTAAACAGTCCGGCAACTTTTCGTTATTTATGGTTGAATGGATTAATTAGAGAAACTGAACTAAAAGAAATGATTACAAAAATTATTCAAGCCGCCGAAGAATTAAAAATTCCGACCATCGCTTCTCACCATGTCTACTATTGCGAAAGTAAAGAAAAACTACTTAAAGAAATTATTATCGCCAACGAAGGAATGAATGGTAGCCGCCATTATCTTTATAACCAAGCTACCTTGGAAGGCAAAGAAGATCGTTTTGCTTGTCTTCCGCCTCAACACCTACTTAATTTAGAAGAAATGATTGATAATTGGCTCTTTATCAACGACAAATATCTAATTGAAAAACTTATTTTTAAGTATCCTCAGACTATTGTAAACAAAGTAGGGGAAATTATTATTAAGCAGCCACCTCTTAACTATTCTGCAACCGGAAGTAGTCGAAGCGAGGAGGAGGATTTAATTTCGGCTTACACTCAACGAACCACAGAAATTTTTGGCACTCCCTGACCTAATTTTGTTAAGGAAAGAATCGAAAAAGAATGACAAATTATTAAAGGCCGTTATGTTTTTATTTATTGATTAGCCTACAAAGTAGTGCAAAAAACTCATCAGGATGGTTCATTGGTTGGTTCAAGAGGTTCAATTGGCTCTTCTTTTATTGCTTACTTATGTGGAATTACTGACTTAAATCCCTTACCTTTTTATAAGTTCTGCCCTACCTGCCGCCATGCTGAACCTTACAAGACACAAGACCGAATCTATTCTTGTTATGACTATCAGGAAAAGGAAAACTGTCCTAAATGCTCTTCATTATTAACTATGGAAGGACATAATTTACCTTTTGAAACCTTTTTTGGTTGAGAAGGGGAAAAGACTCCCGATATTGACCTTAATTTTTCTGGTGAATATCAAAAAGTTGCCCACAATTATGTGCGTCAATTGCTAGGGGAAGAGTCAGTTTACCGCATTGGCACTATCAATACCCTATCCCAACAAACTGCCGAAATATTTTGAAAGGAGCATCTTAAATTGCGTAAAAAATTTAATCCTAATTTCAATGAAGAAAGATGATTTAAAGAATGGGTTAATACCGAAAAGTTAAAAGAATTAGGAGAAAAATCACTTCAACTCCGCAAAGAAAAAAACCAATTAGAAGCCGAATTAAAAAAGTTGGAAGGAGAACAATAGGCATAGTAATATAATATAAAACTATAATATATATGATATGTTATTGATAATGTATCCTATATAATGTAAAAGGAAGTTGTTAAAGTTGTTATTTATTTCACATTGAGATTCGATTAAAGTTAAAATTTTTATTAATATAAATCAAAAAAAGAAAATAATTAAGTAAAATAAACAGAAGTTTTTTCCTTTAAGCCCTCGCCTAGTCAGGCAAATTATCACCTAACTAACTCTCACTTTTTATCTATATTATAGTTTTATATTTTTTGTTATGTAGTTCGACATAGCAATTGTAAAATATTACTATATATGACATGATATTACTCTCTAAATACTCCTATAAACAAAAGAGAGCAAATGGTAAATGTTAGTTCTTTCGGAAATTATTTTTTAGTTATTAAGGAGGATTTTCTTTGTCTTTTTAGTCCAATTTCCTTCACTTCTTTATCTTTTCTTGATAATTCAAGATAATATTTAAAGAAAATGAAAGAAAATCTAAATAATAAAACAATAAGTAATAATAAGTTAAATTTACCATCTACTTGGACTAAGAAAAAGATGGCTAGTTTGTTGTTGGTGAGTTGGATGTCGGTTAATGGAGTTAGTGGCGGCAGTAATTTTAAGAAATGCCTAAATGATAATGAGTATAGTTCTTCGGTGGATATATACAATCAAGTTAATGCTTTTGCCGGCAAGATACCTAGCGGAGGAAGTTTCTGTTGCGATCTTGAACCAAAATGTTCCCTAATGATGCCTGAATGTCCACTCGGAACTCCTAATGTCTATATTCAATGTAATGATGTTGGTAATTCTAAGTTTTGTGCTTCTTATGCCCTCAGTTTTCTTCCAGGAGGTGTATGTGGTGGCATTTTAGGAGATAATCTTTCTCAAAATATAAAAATTGGTGTGTGTCCTGATCCAAAGTCAGTAATAAGCACTTTAAAAAGTCAAAGTTCTACTCCTGATTTTAGTTGAATGTGTTGTGATGGTGAAAAATGTAAAGTGCCGATAAATGTGGAGGTAAGCAAAAGTAATGTAGGGTCAAAAAATGAAGGTGAATCAGCAAAAACTGATTGTGCTACTAGTCAATACAGTTTAATGTGTTTTAACGATAATGGAGGATGAACATGTACTGGCAATACTAGTTCTACTGTTAATATTTGACCTAGTCCAATTGGCAATTGCATTTTACAGGCAATGTTACCTAGTTCAAGCGGTTCTAACCCTCCAACTAAGACATTTGATATACCAACCTCTTCTTCAACTAAAGTTCCTGCTGAAAGTAATGGAAATGATAATGGACTTAGCAAGTCTGATAAAATTGCTCTCGGAACTAGCATTCCCTCATTTTTTTTAACAGCATTCGGTTCCTGAATTGCTTGAAAAGAATACAAGAAAATGAAAGAGAGAGAGAAAGCGAGGGTTGCACAAAACGAAACAGAACCAAATGTATTAGGCGAGGGAGTTTCAGGAGTAAATAATCAAAGGCAACCACAACATCAGGCTCAAATAGAGGTCAATCCTTACTACAATAATAATCCCTATTATAACTATGGTCAAGGATGAAGAAATAATTAGAGAAGCATCATAATGCTAACTATCTAAGAACAATCCTCCATCTAGATCCGAGTGAGTCCAAGTTGAGTCCAAATAAAAACCAAGGGGGAAGCTTACTGCTTCCCCTTACCTAATAAGCATTTTTCGAATTAACTTATTTATTAGGTATAACCTAAATACTATAAATCAAATCCTAGCGAAAAAAATAATCCTTTATCTAATCATTGGACTACTAGTAATCACCGGAATTGACACTATTACTTATCTTACTGAATAATTGGTAGTTTGGTTTGAAAAGAACCAGTTTTAATTTAAAGAATTCCCAACTGGTCTTTTACTCACTGAGAGATATAAGGTAAATCAGTTAGTTTTTGGAGGAGGGATTTATCACCAGAGAGGGCTTCGTTTACGGCTTCTTGGTAGTGAGTTTTAGTGAAGCCTTTTTTAGGGTTCATAGCCATACATTGTCCAGCCTGATTACCTAAACTAGTTATCCAGTTTTCATATTCTTTATCTACTCCATCGGCTAAACGGTTAGCAATTATTAGATTACGGGCAATTATTTTATTGGAGAGGTTGTCTAAGGAATGAGTATCGGGGAATAAATCAGGGTTCTCTTCACACATAAACTTATGATATTCGGCATTGCCAATTTGACTAATATCGTAATTTCTTACTCAATCATCTAAATCGGAAAAGTCAGTTAGTTTTTCAATTCCATCAATGTCTATTCTGTTTCCATCTCTTCCACAGTAATTTTCTCATAGTTTTCAAATAAAATCATTTAGGGAAATTTGGGAAGGGAAAATTACATTTTTAATAAATCGTATTTTTTCACTTTTAATTTCATTTTTAATTTTAATGTCAGTGTTAGTATAGAGCAAATAATTTTTTTCTCTAAACTGATTTAAAATACGCAAACTTACTAGTTGGTTATTATTACTTAAATCCAAAGAGGTTAATTCATTACGACTAATATCTAGTTTTTTTAACTTGAAGCAGTTTTTAACATTTAAAGAAGTGATTTTTTGCTCATCCGCTTTAACTTCTTCTAAATTAATAAATTCTGATAAATCTAATTCACCAGAACCAAAAAATAGTTTTTTATAAAATTGTTGAGAAAAATAACTAGCTCTAATCTCCCTTACCCTCTCCTTATCTTCCCTTGTCGGATACTTTCAATCTATTCATTCTTGTAAAGTTTTGCAATCTACTTCTTTATCTCGAATAATCCTACCGACTTCATTAAGCCTTTTTTCACTCTCCACTTCCATATCTTTATTTTTTTCCTCTGTTGCCTCTCTATTTTCTCCATCCTCTTCAATATTTTTCTTGGGATTAAGTTCAATAGGTTGGATTTGAGGAGCCTCTATTTTTGGTAAAGGAGAGTTTAAATTACTGACTAACCCTTCGACTTCTTTTTCGGATACTTCCTGACCGGTTAAATAAGAAACGACCGAACTTAAACCAAGAAAAGTAAGGAAAGTTTTGCCTTTATGTTTTCACAAGTAATTTTTGCCTCGATTAAGTTGGTTGATTAAGTGAGAGAGGTAAGGGGGTTGGATTGGCTCTCTCTTTGCTTCTTCCTTATCTTTTTCAGTGTGATTTTGGTATTCTTTTAATTCTTGCTCTAATTCTTGGTTTTTCTCTTGAAGTTGAGTCAACTGCTCTTCAACTTGTTCTAATTCCATAGTTAAATCACTTTTCCTTTCTGTCTCTTGTTGTTTTAATCTCCGAATAATAAATAAATCAGTTCTTAATTGCCTAATAGTTTCTTTTTGTTGTTCATTTTCTGTTTGTAAACTACTTAATTCTTCCTTATCACTTTGTCAATTACTTTCTAAATCGCTTAATAACTTTTCAGCATCCTTTCCCCCTTTAATCTTTTGTTTAGCCAAATTTATTAAACTAGTTTCTAAGTCCTTAATCTTTTGACTAAATAGTTCCTTAGTTTGTTGGTTTTCCTTAATTATGGTTTCATTATCTATATCTTTTTCCATCCGCTTCTGATAAAGAGTTTGATAATGTCGTAATTCACCTTCTAACTTACTAATTTCTTCTTTATTGGCTGAACCAACCGCTAAATTAGCCTGCTGATTCTGATGATAGTAATACAATAAAAGAACTAGTAAAGCAATGATAATTAAGATTTGGGCATTGGTTGGCATATATTAAAAGTTTTCGGGAACATTATTACGAATATAATTTTCTAACTGAGTTTTGGTAAATCATTGATTGCCACAAAGAGCCACTGCTTTTCTTAAATCACTGGCTCGACTGTAAACTCATTTACCACCCCCCGAAGTATTAACCCATTTACCCGAATCAAATTGGAATAAACTCGGGTTAACTTGGAGACTAGAATAGCGGTTAAATCCATCTTCCACGGTCGGACAAGTATCAAAATGACTTCCTCCACGGACACATCGATTTCATTCTTCAATTAACATTGGATATCAAAGAATACTTCTGAGAGCCGTTTCGGCATTATTATCCTTTAATGCTTCACTGCGTCGTTGGGAATCCATCCGTTCAGCAGTAATTTTTAAAGTATTGGCTCGTTGAGTTTCTAAGGCTTGCCGAGAGGCTTTTTCTTTCTCATATAAGGCTTGGTTTTCTACTTCGGCTTTTTCAGCTAGAAGTTTATCAGCCTCCATTTTCCGGATTTCTTCTGCTCGGGTTTCTCGTTCTTTTAGTAATTGATTTTCTTTTTTCTTCAATTCTGCTTCATTTTTTCGTTTAACTTCCAAGATTTCAGTTTCAATGCGGGCTTTTTCTTCATTGGCTTTTTTTTCGATTAACTGTCTTTCTTCTTCATCTTCCAAAGCAATCGCGGCTAATTTCTTTTGCTTTTCTTCTTCGATTAAACGAGATTGTTTGATTAATCGTTCTTGCTCTTCTTTATTTTCTTGTTCCATTTTCTCAATTTGGTCTTTCTTTTTCTGTTCTTCTAACTCATTCTCTTTTTTCTTATTTTCTAAGGTGGCTTCAATGGCTTTCTTCCGTTCAGCGATATTTTTGCTTTTGGTAGAGAAGTAAGCATCTTGTTCGGCTTGGAGGGCTTTTTCACGGGCTAATCTAGCTTCTTCTCGTTTTTTTTCTTCGGCTTCGGCTAGTTCTCTTTCTTGTTGTCGTCTTTCTTCGGCTTCTTTAAGTTTTCTATCTTTTTCGGATAACTTGCTTTCTCTTCTTAATCTTTCTTGTTCTTGGAGTTTTTTTTGGGCTGCTTCTCTTGCTAGTTTCTTTTTCATTCTTTGGGCTTCTTCATCGTTTAAGCCAGTTAATAAATCATCATAACGAGAACTGGTCGACTGAGATGGTTCGGAAATGGAGGTTTCTGATAAATTTTCCTCTTCTTGATTGGTTGGTCTCCAATTCCCTAAGGCTTGGTTAATTTGTTCTTGAACTAACTCTTTTAAATTTAAACTTTTGATGGTTTCTCTTTGTCTGGAACTTTGGGAAGAGACGAATCTTTCTCAGATAGTTTCATCAATGGTTATTTCTTGATTTTTTAAACTATTTAAATATTTTTGATATTCTTCCTTTAACCAGTTATTTTCACTTAAAAACTCTTGTCAATCACGGTTAGCAAAGATGCGAACACTAAATACTAGCAATTCAAAGAAATTATATTTAGGAACGGTTTTAAAGCCACAAGTTAATAGGATATCCCTTTGTCAATCAGATAAATACTCTCTTGATACTCATTCATCCAAATTATAACTTAAAGCTCATAGTATGTAACCTCTGTTAGCCACTTTCCATAGAGAACGTAAAATAGATAATTTGTTTTCTTTTATTTTTTTCTCGGCAAGTTTCTTTTGTCTAGTTTCTGCTTTGGCTCGGATTATCCTTTGCTCTCCTTGTAAAAATTTTTCTTTTAAAGGTAAATAAGAACTCTTGCTTTTACCAAATTGAGTATGCGGATCAGGAATTATCTCTTCTTGAACTAAAAAGGTTTGGTTAGCCGGTTTTAGGTTTAATTGTTTTAAAAGGGCTAAACTCTCCTCCGAATACTTATCCTCTCTAGTTAAGGGGGCTAAACTATTTAAAATATTTTTTTGTTGTCCAGTTAGTGCAAAGGTCTTAAAACTATCCGGATGAACTTCTTTCAATTGTTCGGCTTGTTCCTCAGTTAGTTTTAACTTATTGCAGCCAAAGTCTAATAAGTGCTGTTTCTGCTCTTCCGTTACTTCTCATTCTGCTGCATTATAAGGCTTAATGCCCATATTTTCTAAGGAATTTCTTTGTTCTTCGGTCAGATTAAGAGTATTCATTAAGAAGCGGAGAATATTTTCTTTTTCTTTGGTGGATAAGCCGAAGAGGTATTGCTCTTGGTGAAGAGAATTATTTAACTTGACAAATTTATCTTTCTTTTGGTAAGTATCTATTCCTAAACCATTCAAACCACTACTAATTAAGGCTAATTTTTGGGATAAAGGGAAAGTTAGAAAGTTTTGATTAATGACTTCTCGGTCTTCGGGGGTTAAATAAGGAGTTTGGCCGGAAATAGCCAATAATTGTTCCAAAGATAATTGTAATTGACTTAACAAATTAGTTTCTTCCTCAGAAAGAGCAGGCAATTTAGTTAGACGAGAAGAGAGTTGGGGTTGGTCTTTTTCTGACCTTGCCAACCATTGATCAGTTTTTTCGAATTCCTTTAATAAAACTGATTGTCCTTTAAATTCAGGATATTTTTCTTGAATTATTCGTCAAGACATGGTGGGTTCTTTTAATTGACCTTGGGCTTGGGCTAAATTATCTTTTAACTGTTGCTCTATCTCAGTAGCCTTTTGTAAAGTTTCGGCTTGCTGTTGGATTTCAGTCTCTTTTTGCTGAGCAATTCCTTGCTCCTGAATAATTTGTCCTAAGTTATCTATTTCTTGAAATCTGGCTTCACGGCGACTAGCCAAAGGATTATTAGCCATCATTTTTCCGGTTCAGGTATTTTCATCTCACTTGATTTCTTGTTTGGCTCATTGTTCTTCGGTAATCTTCTGTTCTTGGCGGATTTCCTTAGTTTTTTGTTGATAAAAAGCTTCGATTTTTTTCTCCGCTTGGTATTTTTGATAGAGGGTATAAGAATAAAGGGCTAAGATGGCTAAATTAAAACCAATTACACACGGTCATTTATATTTTTCTTGCTCTGGTGCTGAATAAGCCAAGACATTACCCATAACATAACCAAGAATTAGGAGATATTTGCCTCACAGTTCAGAATATTCTTTTAAAGTATCGCGGTGATAATAAGCAATTGCTAGGAGGACATTTAACACCACTAATCCGGGTAAACCATTTCTTTTATAAACCACATATTCTAATAAAAAGATAATCAAAAAGAGCATGAAGTAGGTCATGGTTTTTTGACTAGCGGCGGCTGATACTTCCATTTCTTTTAATTGTTGGACTAGTTCCTCTAATTTTTTTTGGAGTTCTTCTTCCTTAGTTTCTTCGGGTTTTTCCTGGTCTTTGGTTTCTTGAAGAGCTTGTTGACTAAGGGCTTGAATTTGTTGTCATTGGAGGTTGATTTCTTCGGATTGACTTTCCTCTAACTCTTTTTCCTTTTCTTCTAAGGCTTCTTCGAATTCTTGCTTTTTTTCTAAACTAGATAATTCCGCTTGGACTTGGCGAAGTGCTTGCTCGGCTTTTTTAGTTTCCTTTTCCTCGGTTTGGAGTTGTTTTTGATTTTGCTTAGTTGGTTGAGCAGTGGCTTGTTGTTTAGTTTTCTTTTCTTCCTCCTTTTGTCGTTCTAGGGCTTTCTGTTTGATTTTAACCTTACTTTCGGCTTGGAGGACTTGTGAAACAGTAGTTTGCGAGGGTTTGGCTGGTTTATTAGTTTTAGTTGGTGAACTTTCTATTTCCTCTAACCCGGCTCTGATTTCTTGCTGAATTTCTTGTAATCGGGTTAAGGTTTCTGATTTCAATTGCTCTATTTCAGTAAGTAATTGGTCTGATGACTGATTTTCTTCTCCAGCTGCTTCGGTATTTTGCTCATTCTTTACGACTTGCTCTTCCTTTCTTCTTGCTGGGTCAGTTAAGGGGGCTCGTTCGTGTTCTCCTAATAACCGAGTATCTCAACCCCATTCTCGAAGTTGTTCCGGACTGTATTTTTTGGCTCAGGAAGAGTTAGGATTAAGAGGGATGCCTTCTGGCTGGGACATTTCTCGTTCAGTGCCTTGTTCAATGCCGACTTTTCATTCTCTTTCGGCGGGTTGCAGAGGAATTAATTTTTTAGTTTCTTTTAGAAGATTTAAAGTAGCGATTAATTTAGTTTCTTCAGCTTTTAGTTCGAGAGACTTTTTGATTTTGTCTAATTTGTTGGTTTCAGATGAATAATCGGAAAGGGCTTGAAGTTTTAAGAGATTATCCAGTCTTTCATTGGCCATTTTAGCCTCTTTTTTGACTTTTTGGGTTTCTTCCTTGTTTTTTTTGATTTGCTCTTGAAGTTGTTCAGTGGTTTCTTGAATGTTTTTAACTTCTTCGGTTAAATTATCAATTCTTTGGTTAGTGTCTTGAGCTAGGTTAAGCGTTTCATTAATGCGGTCATCTAACTTTTGAGATAGTTTGTTCATTCGCTCGTGGACTTCTTCTTGAATATCATCCATTTGCTCGGTTATCAGATTCATTTGTCGTTGTTGAGCGAATAATAGGTCATTAGTATCTTGTAAGTTTTCGACAATTTCTTCTTGTTGGACTCTTTGGAGGGCTTGCTCTCGTTGAACATTGTTTAATTGCTCATTGAATTCCTCAATTGTTTCTTGGTTATCTTCGATTTGGGTTTCAATTATTTTGGTTTTCCGTTCATATTCAGCCTGAGCATCTTCTAAAGTTTGTTGGGTTTCCGCGGTTTTTTGGTCGATTTGGGACTTATATTTGTCGAAGTTGTCTGATAACTCATCTTTTTCCTCTCGTAGATTTTCCAAGTTAGTTTGGTTAATTTTGATTTTATCTTTGATTTCTTTAACTTCGGCTTCTCGGGCTCGTTTTTCTTCCTCGATTCGGCGTTTATTTTCTAAGATTTTTCGTTCTTGTTGTTCGAAACGTTCGTTAACTTCGGATTTAAAGTCGTTGAGGGCATTGGTTAGTTGGTTTTCTACCCGATTTAGATTTTCCGTGACTTCATTAATGGAACTCTTTAATTCTTGGTATTGGGCTTGTCGTTGCTTTTTTTCTTCTTCAATGGCTCGCTTGTTTTCTCCGGTGGCTGCTTCTAATTTTTTATCTAAATCCTTGATTTCTTTTTCAAATTTTTCTCCTTGTTGTTTTAATTCTCCTTGTAATTCAGTTTTTAAATCACCCATTCTCTTATTCATTAACTTACCTTGAGCATCAACTTTACTGTTTAATTTGGCTTGTCCATCTTTGAGGTCTCCGACTTCGGCGGCTAGACCACTGATAGCTGTGCTAGTCAATAGGTCTTTTAAGTGGTCAATAGCAAATTCAATTGAAGCAATACTAACACTTAATATAGAAGCTGCCGCTCCAGTAAAAAATCCACCAGCTTGGATTTTAGGAATAAGAACTCGTCGAATTCACTTAACCCCATCATCAAGACCACCAAGAATAAAAGAAGAACCACCGGTTTCGGCTAATTCAGCGACAGTTTTTTCGGGATTCATTTTTTCCTTTTTAGAAACACCCGGGATATGAGCTATCGTGTTATTTCATCCATCAATTGCTAAATTAATGGCTTTTACTCCGGCTTTGATGGATCCGGCTTTGTTGGTTTTTTGGAATTTATCCCGATGAGCGGTAGATTCTTCTCAGTGGATATTGTCTTCGTTATTATTGTTAGGGTTAGTCATATTTGGTTATAGTTTTGATATGTAGAAAAATATTAATATATGGTTAATCAAGAAAATATTAATTTAAAATTAGAGATGGAAGTGCTGAAAGTTGAGCAAGAAATACAAAAAAAAAAAAAAAAAAACAAGGAAGATGAGCAGAAAAAGTTAACGAATAGTTGAAATTTGTTTTTAGGAGGCAGTGCTTTTGGTGCGTTCCTTGTATTTATGGCAATTTATCAACATGGCGGTTACTGAATTGCAGTCGTTATCACTGCTCTTAGTGCTTTAATTGGACTTTTAGGAATTTTTTCCAATGGAAGTAAACTTAAAAAACTTGAACAGGAAATAAATAGGCTAAAAAAGCAGAAAAAAGAGTTAAAAAATTCAGTGAGATGGTAAAACAAAAAAAAGATTAGTTAACTAACTTCTTCTGATAAAATCAGTAAATAAGGACAATTATTATTAGGATTCAGATTATTTTCATAAAGGGTAATATTTTTTTTCCTATACAGGGCTGAGATGAGGACTGTGATTAATACAAGACTAAAAAAAGGCAGATTAAAGGTGTTTTCTTACTCGACCATTAGTTTTAGGCTGAGAGATAGGATGAACTTCTTCACCGGGGCGAACTATTTTTAATTCAAAATCACCTAATAGTTTGCTGGCATATTCTCCTAATTCATCTAAACTGAAATTCTCAATATGGGCGAATAGTAAACATTCTAACCTCTTTGTTGACTTAATCTCTAATATTCTTTTTAAATCTTGATCAGAGATGTTATTATCTTGAATATACCCTAAAATGTTCTGCTGTATTTCATATTTGGCTTTATCAGTGGGAGTAGCATTTCAAGTTAAGCCCTTGCTTTTTTGATGATAACCTGGTTGTCGCATTTTCTTAACTATAGCATCTACTTCTTCCCAAGAGCGACCCCTTCCATCAAAGCCTTTTCCAGTGAAAGGTCTTATTTTTGATATGTTATTATTTCTTGTCATATTTTTTTTCGCGATAACAGTTAATTATAAGTAAAGTGGTGTTAAATGGTGATTCATCATAATCTCAAACTAAATTGTAGGCTCGATATCCAACATATAGAGGCTCAAAATTGTAATAGTCATTGATTTTCCTTATTTTTTTGCCATACAACTGCTTAACCAACTCTTGAATTATTTCATCACTTACTGTGGAGCGTCCTGGTTTAGTTCGGTAATATTGACTAATTTCTATTTCAGTAAATCAGCGACCATTGAAGATAATATTGCAAGGGTAGCGACCACTAGAATAATTAACAATCTTTTTAACCATCTTTATCTATAACTTATTTTTTTATTTTTAAGGAGGTTCATTCCTCCAATTTTTCGTAAATTTATTTTTTTTCTCTACTTGGGTAATCTATTTCTCAATTACTCAGTAATTTCATTTTTTTATTCATATTATTTTCCTGCTGAATGGCTTGTAAAGTATTTCGATAGGTAATAATTTTGTTAATTAATGCTTTATTTCAGTGGGTAAATTTGCTTAATTCGGTTCTTAATGCTTCTGCTTTGTTTTCTAAGGCCTTAATTTTGTCAACGGTTAAAGAAGTTTGGGTACTTTTATCGAATAAACTAGGCAGGTAATCGGTTTGGGTTTGTGAATTAACCGTTAATTTTTGGTTGACTATCCGATAATATAAGTAAACTGCTAAGACTATTAAAGCGATGATGGTGATATCTTTGGTTTCCATAATTTTTTAATTTCCA